CATCAAGAAGTCATGGCACTGGGTCAGTGGAGCGGGCTATAGCCATAGGGCTGGATCCTTATATAAACCATGGCTTCCCGCCCTTCCCTCCCTTACCATGCTCCTGGCACAGAAAGTGATTAAAGTGATGAATTAATTGCTTAATCTATTAACTACAAGCTGAGATGGGACAGGAGAGTGTGGATGGTTCCCTGTGATCCATCCCCTTCTGGAAACCTGGAAAAGCTCCTTCTGAAACAGGTCTTCCCAGAGATGGGTCTGTCCCACGCCAGGGAAGGGAACCAGTGGCCTTGTTCATGCAAACTCGTATTATGAGGAAACTGGGTCCCGGCAGAGATCGCACCAACTGGAGTAACCTCTGAAGCTCGTGCATTCCGTTTCCATGCGCTGTCTCGAGGCTTCCCAGAGCCTCGCCGGGCCTCTCCTGCTTTGCAGTGGCCTCTTGTACATGAGCTTGGTCGTGTATGTCCTCTTTGGGCATCTCCCTGGCTCTGTCGCAGATTCTTTAAAGGGCGGCTTGCCTCCACTGGTTCATTCACTGAGCTTTCTCCTTCCTTGCTTCTGGAAAACAGATTCGGGAAGAGGACAGGAGCCCTCCACCATCCTCGCCCCCTCCCCTTTTCTCTGTCATCCCAGGGGGCTTCATTAGGCAACTGGTCCGGGAGACTGAGAAAGAGTCGAAGGAAGCAAGACGGAGGAAACAGGCAGTGCTTGCCTCCCCGGAACAAGAGGTAAGTGGCCCCACAGGAAGGGGACCAGGCGACTTTCAATACCTACCATTCTGGGAACTTCCCTGGTGGTCCGGTGGCTAAGACTCTGCACTCGCACTGCAGGGGGGCCCGGGTTCAATCCCTGGTCAGGGAGCTAGATCACATGTGCATGCTGCAACTAAAGATCCCACATGCTGCAATGAAGACCTGCCACAGCCTAAATAAATAATTTAAAAAATACCCACCATCCTGTCCTGTGAGCATCCTTTGAGTCACTTGCCAGCCTTTGTTCCTGCAGTCCCCACTTCAGCTTGATCTGTTAAACTCCTACACCTCTGTCAAAACCCAACTCAAATGGTACATCTCTGGAAAGCTCTCCCATTTCCTTCCTTGAACTCCCACTCCACCCTCTATGCCTGTCTTAATTGTGGTCAGCATAGTAATTGGTGGCTCACGTGCCTTATTTGACTAGGCATTCCTTAAGAGCAACAACTCTCCCTCTCATTCGACTCTGTATCTTGAGCAGCTCTCATGGAACTTGACCCGTAGTGAACGCTCAGAAATTTTTGTTCACTGAGTGAATGCATGGTAACAGTTGATGTACGAGGGGATCATTTTGCCACTATTTCCGTAGAAAGGGAAACCTAAATATTAACTGGGGATGTATAGATAGTTTGCTTTCATTTAAGCAGAAAAGATGTTCAGGTGGTATTCTCTGATTATTGCTGTATTGGTTGTTAAAATTCTGAAAGCCTTCCACAGCAGGTGGTAAATGGCCATGGCCCCAAGTGCCCCCCAGCTGCCATGCTCACCTAGGCCCCTTTCCTGAGTCCCTCAGAGTGGCCACAGCCAATGATTAAAGGCTCACTGCTTGGCCCAGAAGGGACCTCAGGGCCCTGCTCCAGCTGGCGTCCCTTCTGCCTGGTCCGTGTCCACTTACATGCTCTGAACAGCACTGCTGGCTGGAAGCAGTAGGTGGACAAGGTGCAGTCCCTGTGCTTTAAGGACCTGCAGATTGATCCCTGATCAATGGTGGCCAGTGCTGCCTCCCTCCTGTCCCCCAGCTCTTCAGCCCGGGAACCCTGGCAGGATGATGAGGCTGGACACCAGGGAGGCAGGATGATGAGGCTGGACACCAGGGAGGCAGGCTTGGGGTGCTTGCACCTTGGGCATATCACAGTTTTAGCAGAAAGGGTATCTCCTTGCATCTCTGCTACGCCCTCTTGAGGGTGGGTGGATGTTGCAGTGATTGGGCTGAGAAATCTGGTGGCCTCAGGGCCTGGAGTTGGCTGGAGCCCAGTGGCCACCCTGACTTTGCCTCCCATGCCCCTTCAGCTGTTGTTTGCCTGGCTGGTCCCCCACGTGCCTGCACCTGTCCAGTCACAGTGACTCTGATGCATCAGCGAAGTCCTCTAGCAACTGAACGGCAGCAGCTGCTGAAACCCTGCTGCTGAGCCTTCGTGGGGGTGGTGACAGGGAGAGCAGGCTCTGTCCCCAGCCCTGGCTGACGCAGCTTAAGTGGGGGCCAAAGTCCACCCCCACAGACTGCTGTTAGGTCGTGATGCAGTGTTACCGTGTGCCGTTTATCACTCGACAAGATTCACTGTCTGCTCAGGGGCTCATTTGATACCCTGTACAGCAAGGGGGTGGATGGGATTATACCCACTTAGCAGAGGTGGAGGCTGAGATTCAGAGAGGTCAAGGCACTTGCTCAAGGTCATGAGGCCAGATAGAGGCAGACCAGGGCCGGAGGCTGTGTGTCCTCTGCTCTGGCAAGCTGCCTGGGAAAGGGCCAGTCTGGGGAGTGAGGTGCTGGTGTGGCAGCCACAGAGGCCTGGGGAGGAAAGGGTCCGAGGAGCCTGCAGGCTGCGCTGGCTTGCTGCGCACAAGTTGAGAAGCAGAGCTAAGCAGAGGACAGGGATGAGCTGTCACTGCAGGGCATGGATGGAGACTCTGAGTATGATGGACTGGCCTCAGACAACAACAGGTGTCTGGACCATGGGCCAAGATGTTCCCAGGGCTGGAGCAGGGCAGCCTCAGGACATGCTCCTGCGAGGCAGCAAGCCCTTGCTGGGTCCTGGCAGTTTAATTTTCTTGCCCCGATCACTAAATAACTTTGGCCTCTCTTTCCTCGCCCCAACACAGCCATTTCATTGGAGCCTCATATAATCCTTGCAGGGAGCCATTAGAATCCATCACCATTTTGCAGGAGTGCAAAACGAGGCTCTGGGAGTGACTTGGTTTTCCTAAGGCCACCCAGCCAGTGAGGGATGGGGAGAGACTGGAATAACATAGGGGCAGAAAGAGATCCACATCGGATGTCAGGAGAACTGGGTTCTAGCTCTGGCCCCACCACTGTGTGTGTTCCAGGCCAAATCCCATCCCCTCTCTTGGTCTTAGTTTGTGCATCTGTAAAATGGCTGGGCTGTGAGTTTCCTCTCAGCCCCAGTGATTCTAGGTGCTCTTCTTCCCCCTTGTACTGAGAAGGCTGCAGGTGGGATCTGAGGGTTTTGGTGACTGAGAAAATCTGAAGGAAGAAGAGTACACATAGTAGAGGGGAGGGAGGTTGGGATGGGTTGTCTTGCTTGGCCCACCCCTCTGTTACTGTCTCCTCTACGGGGGTTTGGTTAAAAATAAGGCACTGACTCACTGTTCAAAATGGTGTGGACAGTGGTGAGATTTGCCAGCTGCAGCCAATTCCCTTTCGAAGGCAGTGTCCTGCCTGGTCCCAGGAGGTCAGACTGAGCTGCCGGGCTCTGGCGTTCTCAGCCCCAGTTGCATGTTGCAGTCACCTGGGGGGCCACCACCCAGACCAGCTGCATCAGACTCTCTGGGAGTGGAGCCGAAGCGATAGAATTTTTTAAAGCTCCCAGGAGATTCCAGCGAGTCCCAGGAAGACAAGCAACGCTGTCAGTACTCAACAGTTAAGGGCACTGGCTTCAGACTCAGAGAGGCCTGTGTGACTTTCCATTCTGGGTTTGTCTCTTGGGCCCCCTACATCTCTGTGTTTGCTCCCTTATCTGTAGAATGGGGAGAAGTTCAGAACCTACTTCATTGGGTTTTTTATTAGGTTAAGAAGGATATTGCATTATGGCGATGGAGGGCCCATTGCAAGATCTATAAATGATAGCCATTATTATTATTATTATTGTCATTTTTACAAAGATAAAGATCGAGACTGTGCTCTGGAGGCATCCATCACCTAAAACAGGAGAGCAACACAAATCAGAGCTAGAACGGGAGGCAGCACGTGGTCATGGTGCAGATGGTGCACGACAGACAGGGCTCTGGGACTCTGTGGGTCTATGAGGCAGTTTCTGATTGAGGTCTTCGGGCACAGGTTTGTGGAGGAGGGGGCGTTTGAGCTGGGTATAGAAATACGAGTAGAATGTGGACGAGTGGAGAGGGCAAGGGCGTTCCGGGCAGCAAGCTCAACGTGAACAAAAGCGTGGAAGCTGGGAAGCATCAGGTGTGGCAGGAGATGCCAGGTGTGGCTGAAGCATGGAGACGAGCAGGGACAGTGAGACCAGATGGAGGTGGGGGCTCCTCTTCAAGAACTTTGAATGGCAGGTGGCTGTGTTGAATGGCTTTCCTGGAGGCTCTGGGCAGCTTCCAGAATCTTTTGATGAGGTTTTAAATGACTGGCAGCAAATTGACAGGACATTAGCTCAGCGGCTGTGGCCGTGGCCCAGGTGAGAGAGAGTGGACCTGGGTTTGGGAAAGGAGACTCAGGTGTGAAGCTTTGTAGGTGGAATCAACGCAGTCCTGGGACCGTTCTGGATGCAAAAGGATGAGAACCCCAGATGCTCAGGCACAGGTGTGTGGGAGGCTGGTGTTAGCAGGGTCCAAAGTGGCAGAACCCAGACTAGGACAGATGGTGCAGCCAGGCATCAGGGTAGAACTCCCCCCGTGGTCTCCTTCTGCAGAGGCAGAGGCAAAGCTGGCTCTGTGAGCAGTTCAGGCCACAGCCAGGCTGGTTTAAGGATGGAGGGCAGGGCGGGGCCGACATCACAAGGCAGTAGAAAGACATGGGAGAGGAACAGGCAGTGGAGACCCCTGAGTGTCGGGTACCCAGATGTCTCGGCCAAGCAAAAGTGGAAGACCTCAGGGCAGATCCAGAGCCCTCACCTGGTGTGCAGGTGTGTTCTGGGGACCAGGATAGCGAAAGTAGCAGCAGATCACTTTGTTCAGTTCTCTGCAATTTCCACATCTCAGCCTACAAAAACGTCTGGATGATCAGCTGGTATCTGCCTGCACTGAGGGAAAACCAAAGCTCAGAGAGGATAGGTGATGTCGTCCAAGGTCACCGAGCTGGAAAGCATCAGAGCCAAGACTAGAACAGGTCCTCCGATGATAGGCTCCATGTCCTTTCCCCATCCCTTCCTGGCCCAGCGGGAAGAATCAGGCATAAATAATAGTGAGAACAGTGACAACAGCACCAGTGACAGCAGCAGCAATAGCTCCTGTTACTGAGGACGTACCAGGTGCTGGGCTCAGCTTCCATATGCTACTGGGAAGCCTCACGCCCACCTGGTGAGGTAGGACATTATGCTTCTCATTTTATTGGTAAGGAAACTGACTCAGAGAGGGGAAGTTTTTTTGTGTGGTTTGTTTTGTTTTGGCTGTGCTGCACGGCATGTGGGATCTTAGTTCCCCGACCAGGGATTGAACCTGTGTCCCCAGCAGTGGAAGCGCGGAGTCTTAACCACTGGACCACCAGGGAAGTCCCGAGGGGAAGTAATTTATCTAAGGCCACACAGCTAGTGAGTGGCAGAGTTCGGAAGTGAATTTGGGTCTGTTGGGCTCGAAAGTCCACTCTCCTTTCATAATGTCACTTGGCCTTGAGGTTCTGAGCCAAAGCCTAGGGTGTAGGGTGCTGGGGTTTGGCCCATTGCCCGTACATGCCTGAGGGTCTTTGGATGAATTAATGGCTGGCTGAACAAATGAGTGGATGAATGAGTGAATGACAAAGCTGTCTGGTCAGCAAGCAGCTAAGTATGGTTGTGGTGTCTCTTCTAGACCCCAGAGATTTCCACCAGCCAACCCAACAGTGGCGCCAAATCTGGAAGCCAGCACATCTCCCAGGACAACCAGTCGAGCTCTCCTCAGAGCTCAGACATTCTGGGCAAGAAGAGTGAGGGGGCCGGCACCATGGACCCGGAGCTGATGACCAGTATCAACGGCGAGAAGCCCCAGGAGTCGGGCCCCAGTGTGACACCAGCCAGAAAAAGCCTGCCCTTCAAGAGAGGGATAAGGGGGGGCGATGTGCTGCTGATGGTGGCCAAGCTGGACCCGGACTCAGCCAAGCCGGAGCAGAGGACCCAGCCCCGGGACGGCCCCGCTTGCAAGACCCCAGCCACAGACCCCGGAGGGGAAAAAGAGCGGGAGACCCCAGGGACTCCTTGTGGCCCCCAGGCCGGCGCCCAGGATGCAGCTCTGAAGGCTGAGTTGACCCAGACTGGGGATCTTGGGAACCCAGGAACTGTGCTACTGACCAAAGGCGAGAAGGATCAAGGCACAATGGGGAAAGGGGGCGGGGCCCCCCAGACCAAAGGGACGAAAGGGGGTGAGCCCCAGGGCAGGGAGGGGCTGGGTGAGGGGGGGCAGCTGGGGGCAGCGGAGAAAGGGAGAGGGGACCCCCCCAAAAAGGGGGCAAAGTGGAATTTCTCTAAGGTTGCAGCAGGTGAAGGGAAGTGGGCTGGGGCCCAAGCCCAGGTGAGAAAGTGGGGAGGTTCCCTGGGCAGAAGGAGCAAGTGGGACGGTCCCCAGAGTAAGAAGGACAAAGAAGGTGTGCTCCTAAGTAAGGCGGACAAGACAGACGGACCTCAGACAGAGGTGGAGAAGATGGGCACAGTGCAGGGGGATGTGGGGGAAGCTCCTGGAGTGATGGAGAAAGCAGGCGAGCCTCAGAGCATGGCTGGAAAGGCAGGTGAGCCCCAGGGGAAGATGAAACCGGTGGGACAACCTCAGAGCGAGTCTGGGGAGGCAGGTAAAGCCGGGAGTAAGACAGAGAAGGACTCTGAAGCCCCCAAGGAGGTGGATGCACGTGGAGAGACCCCAGTTACAGCTGGGAAGGAGGACCAGCCTGAGCGCAGAGGGCGGAAAGCAGAGGACGCCTGCGCTAGAGCCAGTGATGGGGCTGGGGCCCTGGAGGTGGAGCCGCAAGGACCCGGACAGCCTGCCCTGGAGAACCGTGTGGAAAGGCCTCAGAGTCAGGAGAGCCAAGAGGGGCCAGCCCTGCAGGAGGGGAGCAGAGGAGGCCAGAGCGGAGTCTCAGGCCAGGTGAGGGGGCTGCGGCCCCGGGGGTGGGGAGGGGCAGGCCAGAGGAGGAGGGGTGGGAAAGGCAGGGACAGGAGACGGACCGGGAGTGGAGGGCATGGCCAGCCTAGAGAAGGGAACAGGCACTCCCCGACCACAAGCGGGGGTCTTGAGGACCCCGCAGCACCTGTCCCGGAGTGAGATTCTCCGCAGGGTGAGGGAACGTCCCAACCACACCTCTCGAGCCTGAGCTTGAAGTTGTCACACAACAGTTCTTCGTGCTGGGTAAACAGCAGGTGGCTCGAAGTGCAGATTCCCGGTCCCCGCCTTGGAGCTTACCATTCAGAAAGCTGGGGCGGGGCTGTGGCTTCTGCATTGAAATGAGCACCTGCACCGGCACCGGGAGATTCTGATTTCGCTGGTCCCAGACGCACTGTGAGAAGTGCCCACGTAAGGGGTCTGCCCCTCGCACGGGGGTTGGGGGAGGGCAGCGTCATCTTGGTCTAATCTATGCGATCTTTGCCCTCAGGCTCCTGAGGACAGATGGTATGAGGCGGAGAAAGTCTGGCTGGTTCAGAAGGATGGATTTACTCTTGGTAATTAGGGGTGTTAGCACATCTGGGGGCTAATCCTCTCCCTCTTACAGCCCCCCCTGCTGCCAGGTCCTGAACACAGTCTGCGGAGTGAGGGGGGGGGAAGGTGGAAGGGGCAGCTGGGACTGGAATGGGGATATGTGGCTTTGGGGTGGGAATAGGCGGATGTCATTTCACCCTTGGCAACTGGTCTGTTTTCAAAGGCATTTGTTCCTTGGTGATTAATTAGTTTAACTAATTCATTAAAGCAGCAAGCATTGTTTGGTTCCTACAGTGTTGCTCAAGGAACTTGGAGTCTAGTGCAAGTGGCCAAATGGATTTCATTTCATTTCATCTTTTTTTTTTTTTTTTTTTCATTTCATCTTTTGCTGGTGATTTGGGGCTAGTGACCAAACGCTACGGAGAAGTTACTCTGAGTCCCATTCAGAACACGGCTGGGAAGAGTGATTAGTGATGTCTGTCATGGGCCCTGGAAAGAAAAAAGGCAGCCTGTATGCCATTAGCTGCTGTCCCAGGTCTATATATGCATTGGGTCAGTGCACCCAGCCATCTGGGTGCCTGGCATTGTGCCAGCTGATAAAAGCCCCAAATGAGTCAGACCCAGCCTCTCTCCTCCAAGAGTTTGGGGTCACGATTCAGAACCCTCCCTGTAAATAGGCTGCAAGGGGCGGTGATGCTAACCCATTTCTGACATGTCTCAGACTCTCCAGCCCCTTGGCCTGGCTCACAACTCAGAATTTTTTCATCTCCTCCCCACCTGACCCCGTCTTCTACCCTCCCCTCCTTCCCTGCTCCTCTTTTTCCCCCCCCCCCCCCGCCCCCGCCCTCTCCTTTTCTCTCTCCCACTGGGTTGTCTACCAGCAACGGTGCTGAAGCCAGACGAGGGAACAGCCGACCTGCCGGCAGGAAGGGTACGACTGTGCATTGACGCGGACAAAAGCATCACTGAGGTGGACGAGGATCACGTCCATCGGGTGAGCCCCCTGCCCCCTCCCGGCCTGCTCTGTACCCTCCTTCCCCACCCCGGGAGAGATTTCCTTGTGCTGGACTGCACATAATACTTCAGCTTGATGCCCTGGGGGGAGTTATAGGGAAGATCACCATTGAAGCCATTACTCTGCTGGAGGTATATTGTTAAGGGCTCATTACTCTGTCCCATGGTGTCCCCTTTATGAGGACACGTTAAGAGATGTGTTTGTCAGGTATTGGGACTGGGAGTTCTGCTTGATCTGAGAAAGCGATTGTTTTCCTTTTTATGGACATTGCAAATCATGCTACAAAGCACGCTTCCTTTTTCACCCTGGCTGCCAGGGAATTCACAGCCGGATGAGCAGTTTGCCATTAACCATAGCATAGGTGCCAGTGGCCTACCTTTTGGGCATCAACCTTTTGTTTTTTTGGTTGTTTTGCATAATTTTTGCACTACACCATGAATCTATCTGCGGATAAGTCGGAGTCTAGTGATAGAAGTAAAAGGTCCTATCCTGATCCTTTTCCATCCCTCACAGCCTACTAATTGAGAAGGAGTTTCCTCCAGGAGTTCCATGTGGGCCTCGTTCATCTTCTTCCCTCTTTGCTCCTTCTCTGCCCACCCCAGGGCCTCTGCTCCCACCAGTGCTGGGAGTTTGCAGAAGGCCAGTGTCCTCAGAAGAAAAACTGACTCATGAAAGAGCTGAGGGTTGACCCAAACGCCAGAGCATTAGGCCCAAAAAACTCCCTGAAGCTGGAAAGAATGGTAGGAAGCTTTTTAGAGTGGATGCCCTAAGGAGAGCTGCAGTCATCCCTTGCTTCTAGAAGGGTTTGGGCATATTTCCAAGTGATCAGTGTATGATGGGCTATCAGAAATGGGGCGGTTAGGGCATTGGCCTCCAGCCTCAGTGTCACAGAGCACATGCAGAGCTCCCTGACAAGACCCGGAAGAGGAGGAAACAGCAGAGGACACTTCCTCTAGAGCACCACCCGTCTTTCGTGTTTGAGAGACAGAAGGTGCTGGAGTCTTGCTGTGTCGTCCTGAGAGCATCCCCCCTCCCAGTGCCACGAGCACAGGGAGGAAGGACCATGCGGGGAGGGGGGCGCTGCACAAAGAGCAAAGGAGAAGAGGTGCCCTTGTTTCATTTGTAGGGTTTCCTCACTCTCTCCAGAGTCCTTGTGTTCTGTTCTGGTCTTTGGCACAGAGCTCTCCAGGGACAGGGTCACCAGGGCTGTGTGTGTGTGTTTGGGGGGGCGCCCAGGAGGCCAGAGGACACTGTGTGATGGTTCACAGGCCAATCCGCCCGAGCTGGACCAGGCCGAGGACCTGGCCTCCCTGGTCAGTGTCAACGAGTCCAGTGTGCTGAACACGCTTCTGCACCGCCACCGGGCTCAGCTGCTGCACACCTGCGCTGGGCCTGACCTGATCGTCCTTCAGCCCCAGGGACCCACGGCGCCCTCTGCAGCCAAGGTGAGGGGGCCCCATGGGGCCAGGGCTGGGGACTGCACAGGAGGGGTGGGGTGGAGGAGTCCCTCTGCATCTCAGGGGAGAGCAGGGCAGCATCCTGCCGACGTGGATTCTGGGGCACCGTGGGCACTGGGTAGCCTTGGGGACCACATGAACCCCCCTCCTTAGACGGGAAGGATGAGTAACCGATAGAAACAGCAACAGGAGTGTGAAAGACAGTAATAATAAGAGAGAACGTACTGACTATCAGCTGTGTACCAGGCACTGCTGCAAGCACCTTCGTGTGCATCTCCATCAATTCTCAGGCCCACCTGACAGGACAGGGACCACGACCAGCCCGTTCCATGGACGAGAAGCTGGGCCAGCTGCCAGACGAGCTGGGGTGAAACCCACGCTGTCGGCCCCTCTGTGCTCTGAGCCCCATGCTGGACCCACGGGAGTCCCAGACACCCATGTGAACGGGGAAACAGAAGCCTCGGTTCCGCCTTTATTTACTTTTCCCTGTGGAGTGTAAAATGGCCCGTTTTTTGTTAAGACGACAGTCAAAGCAAAGAAAACCTGTCAGCGCCACCTCGTGGAGAGGTCTGCAGCTACAGCCGAGTCATTTGCACCCCATCCCCGCCATTCACTCAGTGGCTCCTGATTGAGGTATCGATTGAGGGTCCCGTATGCCAGGCTTGGAGGGAGGAGCAGGGAAGAAGGTGGGCAGGTAAATCTGCCTTCGTGGAGCTTTCATCCTCTTGGGGGAAGACGGGCCCAACGCGACAAAGAGAAACGTGTGGAGGAGACAGCAAGGTGGAGGTCAGGAAGAGCGGGGACGGGTTGCGCCAGGCCTCACGCGTGCTCATAGTGACTCTGCTTCTACTCTGAGCATGATGGAGATTTTCAGCAGAGCAGTGATGTGGTCTGACGCTGTAAAAGGACCCTCCTGGCTGTTCAGTGGAGGTTAGATAGAGGCGGACAAAAGTGGAGGCAGGGAGACCCCCTGGAGGTCAAAAGTCTTATCTGTGCTCCATTCTGAGGGTTTGTTGGTGGGAAGGTTCAACACGCCGCAGGTACCTTGGGGAGATCAGGACACCTCTCTGGCCTGGGTGTTCTCATCTGTCAATGGAGGATGAAAAGCTGCACCTTACCCTTTGGCGTCCCATGGGACAAAGCCATTCCTAGCCCCTGAATGATGCTAAGTCCATTAAAGAGGGGACAGTGGCCCTGCACCCCCTCCCTGGGGCTTCTCTTCTCCTGGACGCCCCCCCCCCACACCCTTAGGTCGCCCTCCAGGCCCCTCCCCAGCCTGGCTGTTCTGGCCAGGGGCTTGGAAGGGCGACGCTGCACTCTCCCCTCCCTTGCCAGGCAGGCTGTGCTTCTGTTACTGCAGCCCAAGGCCCCGAGAGCCTGCTCTGGTTCCTTAGGGGCCCCCGGGAGGGGTGTCTGTCACAGGTCTGTCCGCAAGCCCGCTTCTCACGACCGTGACCGTCCTGATTGCGGCGTCTGCTACACGGCCTGGGTCAGAGAGCCTAAAAGTGCGGGGATTGGGACCCACCCTGGTAGGAGGAACTTGAGTCCCGTGATCCCCCTGAGCCCCTGTAACCCTGAGGTGGGCGTGGGTCCCCCCAAGTCACGCTGCCTCCCACAGCCACAGCTGCCTTCTGTCTCTGGCTGAGTCTCCTCTAGTTCCTCAGATGCCCACCAGGTGGGAGCAGAGACCTGCGGTGAGGCTGGGACTGAGGCCACCTTGAAGATGGGCTAGGAGCGGTCCAGGCAGGGCTGGGGGCCTCTCAGTGGGGGTCTGGGCCGGCCGGGTGGCTGGGAGCTGGGTGCGTGCCTGGGGCTGGCCTCTTTTGGGGTGAGTGTGCTGTGACTGCGTGGGGTGTGGATGGGCACACCTGTGTGCAGCGGCCTCTGCAGCTGTTTGTTGGGTGTGTGTGCCCTTGAGTGTGCCCGTGTGCAAGCATGCAGGGGTAGCTGCGTGTGACTGCGGGGCCTGGGTCTGCAGAATCCTCCCTGTTCCCCTGTAGGCCTGAGAAGGCTGACGATTGGGATAGCCTGGCCCTTGAACTTTATGTTTCCAAAGCGGGAGGTGGCTCCGAGGCTCAGACCTCAGGCCCCTCTGCCCGCTGTGTTCCCTCAGGTTGTGTCCCGCCAGTGTGGAAGCTTGTCCTACTTTGCCGGCTTTGGGGTCCTGCTGAGCCTTTTGATTTGTGTCAGGATGGGGACTCATTGCTGTTCCTGGGGGTCTTGGGGTAGGAAAGGCCAACAGTGCACTGGGGGTGCTCCTTAGCCCAGGCTGGGGGTTCGGGGAGGGGAGGGCTGCCACATCGGAGTTTGTGTCCCTGGTCCTGCCAAGCCACTGGGAGGGCGGACGTTAGCCCACTTGTCACCCACTTAGCATCCTGGGCTTCCAAGGTCCTCCTCCAGCCAGGCCCGTTTCCCTGCTCCCTTTGGTGCCTTTCCACTGCCCTCACCACCTCCACCGCCCTCTTCCGTTTTCCCTGAAAACCACGCTAAGCAGACAGTTGTCAAGGTCACAGTGACCTCCATGCTGCCAAGCCCAGTGGACAATCTCTGGTCTCCTCTGACTTGACCCTCAGCAGCACTTCAGGGGCTGGTCCTGCCCTCCTCCTGCCATCACTCCCTTCCTTAGCTCCGGGATTCCGCTCTCCTGGTTTTCCTTCTGTCCCGCTGGCCCTCCCTCTCAGCCTCCTTTGCTGGTCCCTGATCGCTCCAAGTCAGGGTGCCCCGTCCCTACACCTCTTCTCCCTCCCTCTTTAAACGCCCACTTCCTTGGTGATCTCATCCAAGCTCATGGCTTTAAAATGACTCCCGTTCAGTATAATTCAATTAGTTGGTTTTTTATCATCTGTCTTCTCCCAAATGAAAGCAGGCTCTACAGGCAGGGCTTTTTTGTCTTAAGTCAGGTTTATTAAGGTATAATTTACATACAGTTAATGTCGCTTTTTTTTTTTTTTTTTTTTTTGTGGTACGCGGGCCTCTCACTGCTGTGGCCTCTCCCGTTGCGGAGCACAGGCTCCGGACGCGCAGGCTCAGTGGCCATGGCTCACGGGACCAGCCGCTCCGTGGCACACGGGATCCTCCCGGGCCGTGGCACGAACCCATGTCCCTTGCATCGGCAGGCGGACTCTCAACCACTGCGCCACCAGGGAAGCCCAATGTCACTTTTTTTTAGTGTTCACTTCTGTAAGTTTTTGACAAACACGTATAGTTGTGAAACTGTCTCCGCCATCAATTACAGGACAGTTCCCATCACCCCCAAAAGTTCTCCATACCCTTGTGGCCAACCCCTCCCCCATGTCCCGCCCTTGGCAGCCACTAATCTGTTCTTTTGTCCCTTTTCCCTAGTTTTGCCTTTTCTGAAAAGTCATATAAATGGAATTGTACAGCGTGTAACCTTTGGGATCGGCTTCTTCCACGTATCACAATGCGCAGCGCATTGAGATTCACCCTATTGTTGCAGCTGTGAGCCGTTAGCTCTTTTATTCTATTGTATTTTATCGCACAGCTTTGTTTATCTGTTCAGAGGGGGACCAGTTGTCCTGGTTTCCGTGGGAGGGAATGGTTTTTCTGGGACAAGGGACTTTCGGTGCTAAAACCAGGGTGGTTGGTTATCTTAGTTCTTTAGTTGAGGGACGTTTGGGTTGTTTCTAGTTTGTTGATGATTCTGAATACATACTCAGTATAACCAGTGACAGAGAGGGTTTTTTGGTGAACACAAATGTTCATTTCTCTTGGGTAAATAGCTAGGAGTGGGATTGCTCAGTTGTGTGACGAGTGCACGTATCACTGTAAAAGAGGCTGCCAAGCTCTTCTCCAGAGTGGCTGTGTTGTGTAGCATTGTGGGAGAATTCCACTTGCTCTGCATCTTAACCAGAACTTGGTAGGGTGTCAAAAGAATTAAAAACAGGTTTTTCAGCCATCTTAATAGGTGTATAATAATATCTCCTCACGGTTGGCAGAGACTTCCTTTATTCGCCTTGAGTAGTGTTGTGTCCCCAGTGCCTGGGATAGTGCCTGCTACGTAGTAGACACTCAATGAATATATTTTTTTTCCTGAGTGAATGAATGTACGGATGGATGAATGAATGAAGTCAAAGGGGCTTCCGGTATCTAAATCTGCTACAGCAAATACATAGTACACGTACTGCCAGTTCCCCCATGCCCTGTTCTGTTTCCATGGCAGACGTCACTCATGAGTTGAGCCATTTTATCCACCTGCTTCATTTCAGACAGGTACGATCCAGTCCTTTGTGTAGCAAGTGAGATGAGCCCCATGAGCTAATGCAGCTCTAGTTCAAGCCTCTCATTGGCGCAAGAAGAGGCCAGGCTCAGAGCAGGGTCCGAGGCTGCCCAAGAGCTCACAGCGAGCCTATGGCAGGACTAGATCTCCAGGCTGGGCTCTCCCCAGAGAAATGCACGACGTCTCTGACAAGGCTGGAGTAGGATGGGAGGCGTGGACGTGGATCTGGGCTTGAGGCCGGGTTGGAGCTCTGGAGTGCTCCCTGGGCCCCAGCTGGGTGGGAAAGCTGATGCCGGCGATCTTCCTGCAGGTGCCCAGGAGCTGCCAGGATGGCCTACCCACCCACGTTGTCTCCCTGGCCCAGCGGGCGTACTGGGCTCTGCTGAGCCAGCAGAGGGACCAGAGCATCGTGGCCCTGGGCCGCAGCGGTGCTGGCAAGACCACCTGCTGCGAGCAGGTCCTGGAGCACCTGGTGGGGATGGCAGGCAGTGTGGATGGCAGGGTCTCAGGTACAGTGGTCTCCAGGTGACGTGCAGCTGGGACGTGGCGGGGGCAGTGGCGTGGGGGAAGGGAAGGGAGAGTCGGAGGGGGTGCTGGGCAGCTCGCTCTTATATCCGCTCAGCTAGCGTTCCTTGAGCGCCTGTGTGCAGACCCTGTGCTGGCTTCTGGGCAGGGCCACCCCTAGTCTGTTGGGTACTTTTGTGTGAATTAGAAACAGCTACTCCTTGCCTAAGACACTCACTGCCATATGTGGAAAGGTCATCACACATTGACATTGTTAGAACCAAACGCTTGACTGCCACGTTCTGAGCCATCATCCTAATAAGCATACAGGCCTATGGCTGTCTGATAGAAATGCTGTGCCCTTAGGTGTGGCGTCCTTGTGCAGCGCACAGCCCACTGGACTGTGTGGAGGACCCGATAAGTAAAAAACAAAGGCAAGGAGGCGCTGACGGCCGGAAGGGAGACTCGGCTGCACATCTGTGCCGGACTCCAACGCTCTGCACCACTTGCTGGCCGAGCTGGGGAGGGGAGAGGCGGAGGGAGCGCAGAGGAGGGGCTGGGGGCCTTCCTCGAGGAAATGATGTTTGGGCTGGGCATTAAAGAAAGAGTGTCAACATTGTAAATCAACTACACTTCAGTAAAAAAGAGTGTCGATGATGATAGTTACAATGTTGATGGTGATCGTGGTAAATGCTTGTGCCAGGCTCTATTCCAAGCAGGTCAACTTACTTATTATTTAAAACATCCCTATAAGTTAGACATTATTATTATTTGAATTTTATAGATGAGGCTATTAAAACGCAGGGAGGTTAACCAGCTTGCCCAAGGCCACACAGCTCATACATCCTAGCACCAAGATTCAAACACAGACAGTTTGGCTCCAGAGCTGTTACCCCTGGGCCAGTGTTCTCAATGTATTGTTGCCCCTCTGAGGAGCCTTTTTAATTGTTCTTTCTCCTAATCGTCTCCCGCCATGAAAATTTAATGCCACAGATTCACCATGTATTTGTTTATGCAGTGTGTGGGTATATGTGTATATATATACAGACACAGACATATATGTATCTGTGCCCTATTCTATACATAAGAAAGGAAAACTGCCCCCATCCTCAAGAATCAGTTTCTGCCCTCTTGGGGGCAGTATTCCCCCTGCTGGGAATATATGGCCCAGGCAGTATTGCTTTTCTAATAATAACAAACATAATAATAACACCACCACATTTGGAGCGTGTTCTGAGCACTTTACATTATTAAATCTTTTAGTCTTTGTTGCAACCACGTGAGGTAGGTAAGTACTATTATCACCCCTATCTTATAGATGGGGTTTCCGAGGCACAGGGAGGTTAATTAATTCACTACGAATCAGGTGACTAACAAGGGGGAGAGGCCATATTCAAGCTTGTTTAACCATTGTACTATCCTGCTTCTCCACTGGGGTTATTCCAGTGCTTTACTGATCACCTGTTCTGCACCTGGCCCAGGTTAGAGCCCTGTTAGGAACTGGGGATACAGCAGGGAGAGGCACCAGTCTTGGCCCTCCCAGAATGTAGTTCTGCTGAAAGTGTGTGTTGGGGGAGTGGAAGTCAGGCTAGGCTGTATCCAGGTGCCTAGCACATAGTGGGTGCTCGTGTGTGGGGACTGCAGGGCTTTTTGAGCCTGCTGTGATGGAGTGTTCCCTGAGAGCAGGTCCAGGAATGTTAATACCCTGCCCTCCTCCTAGAGTCCACCAGGCCCAGGAGGCCCTAGGGCAGCCCTTATCACTCAGATCGTACCAATCCTAGGTGTGTATATCTCCCCTTCTGGGCTCACTCTTGCTCCCCCCGTGCCCCTACTTGCAGCACAGGGCCGGCCCAGCAGTGGAAGAGGTGTGGCTTAGAGCTGAGTTGGGGGAGTGGAGGGGGCCCCGCTGGGGCCTGGGGCAGGCTTGGGGTCCTGTGAGAGGTGGGGATGGCAGCACCCGGGCCACGGCTGATGCCCTGTCCGCGCCCCACCAGTGGAGAAGATTCGAGCCACCTTCACTGTCCTCCGGGCCTTTGGCTCTGTGTCCACCGGCCATAGCCGCTGTGCCACCCGGTTCTCCATGGTGATGTCACTGGACTTCAACGCCACAGGCCGAGTCACGGCCGCCCAGCTCCAGGTGAGGCTCCTGGGTGGGAGGGAGAGGGGGTTCTTCAGGGCTCCAGTAGCCTCAGCCCCACTCAGCAGGGCCCACGCCTCCAGCTGGAACCCTGGAATGTCTAAATGGTCATCGCTCCCCAGGCCAAAGCCAGCTCCTCCCCACCTCGCTCAGTGCCCAGGCATCTCCTCCCCGAGCGTGCCGGCTCGTCTGTGCCTCGGAGTATCACAGGGATGAAATATTCATGAGTAGATACATAATTCAGTCGCTCATTAGCTGGGTCTTAAAAGCGTAAGCCGAAATTAAACAGACGCTCGCTGGCCTGCCGCGGCAGCCCGTGTGTGACAGGCACATGGCCTGTTCGTTCCTCTCTCTGAAATCACCCGGCCCCCCCCCCCCCCCCCCCCCCCCCGCAAACATTCTGTTTGAACAGAAAATAGGATTAGATTATTAGAAGGGTTGTTTGTATGTGGAGCTGGGAGAATATCCAGACTCGCTGGTGCCCGATAAATCCCTTTCTGTCCCGGCCCTGGAAGTCTACCGAGCATCACCATGTGCGCCAAGTTATTAAGGGCTTCGGTTGCACACGAGTGTGTTGGAGGGCGGCTGTGGGCTAATTGTTAGTACCCTTGGATTTCTTCATCGGAATGAGCCTGTTGCATGCGTTGATTCCCTGCCTGGACTCTGAGAGACAAAGTGAGACTTTGGACTGGACTCAGTGAGACAAAGGACTGGCATGTTTTGATTTGGAGGTGTCCAGCCAAGTTGGGGCCTTAGGTGCTGCCTTGAAGAGTGGGCCTGGGGGTTGGTGGGGGTGTGCAGGCAACCTAGCGCGGCCTCGTGCTGACCGAGTGCCTGTCCTCTCCCCTGGCAGACGATGCTGTTGGAGAAGAGCCACGTGGCCCGGCAGCTGGAAGGGGAAGGTAATTTCGAGGTTTTCTCCCAGATGCTAGCCGGATTGGACCTGGATCTCAGGTGAGCGACTGGGCTGAGCAGGGACGGCCGAGGGCAGTGAGACAAAGGGCCCCCGCTCTCCAAGGCCCCAGCCCTACCTCTGCCTAGAGCTGAGAGGTAGTAGAGCCCAGTGGTTAGGAATCTGGCCTCTGATTCCAGCTGCCTGGTACTGCTCCTGGGCTGGGTGAACCTGGCCAGGCGTCACCTGCTCTGAACCTCCGTGGGAATAGTCCCTTGACTGCCCTTACAGGATTAAGTGAGACAATTCACATATGGTTCTTTATACCCGCTGCGGGGTGGTGGAGGCTGTCTGCTGTGACGGTGACATTTCAGTACAGGTTCTGACAGCAGCGTGGGAGGTGGGCAAGGAACAGCAGACCCCAAATCTTCCAGAAGCTCCTAAACTCTGTGAGAGGCTTGGGTGCACCTGAGGTACCTCAGGGCGAGGAGGCACCAGGTGGAACAGCAGAGAAGCCAGAAGACTCATCTGGGAGGGCCTTCTGGGGGAGGTGGCCCAGGGAGTCATCTCTGCCCCTCGCTGACTCCTGGGAATTCTTGGACATGTGGCTCCCTGTCTCTGAGCCTTGGTTTCCTCATCTGTTGCATGAATAAGGTTCTATCTAGTGAAGCTCCAGGGAGTGCTCACCCCAGGCGAGGGGGGATAATTTTCAATTTCCCTCTGCGTCCCCCATCATTTGTCTCCTGCCTTCCACCCCCGTCTGAAGGGCAGGCCCAACCTGTCCTGAGCCTCCTGGCTAAGGCCAGAGGGGCACCTTACCCTTTGGAGAGAGGGCAGATTAGAGAGGAAACTCCCAGTTTTCAGAGCAGGGTAACAGGAGTAAGGAAGCTTTTGGAAGGCCTTCACTTAAGAAGGGCCCAGTGAGGGCAGCAAGTGAGGAATATTCGGGAGGTAGGGCCAGGGCCTGAGGCAGACGCTGGGGCCGCCTGGGGCGCTGTGTGGAGCCCCATGCCATGGTGACCACCTGCCCTCCAGGCCACTGGGGTGGGTGGGTCCTCCCTTACTTCTGGTCCGTTCTCTGTTTCCAGGACAGAACTGTACCTGCACCAGCTGGCAGACAGCAGCTCCTTCGGCATGGGCGTGTGGCCTAAGGTAAAGAGGAGGTCCTTCTGGGTGTGAGTGAGTGTCTGTGTCCCCGTGGCCAAGATGGGAGGGTCCCCTGTGTGACTCGTCCCTCTGCCACTGGGGTGAGTAGTTGGCAAGGGCTGGTCATGTGGGGGAGGCAGGGTTGCCTTTATGGGGCCTGGGCTTGTCAGGGAAATGAGTCTTGTGCAAATAAAGGGAACCAGGAGGAGGTGGTTTGTGTAGAGGTAAGGGCGCGGTCTCTGGGACAGGCTGTCTGGGTTCTAACCCCGGCTCTGACACTTGCTAGATATGAGACCTCAGGCATGGACCCTAGCCTCTCTGAATGTCTGTGTTCTCTTTGGTAAAATAACAATAGTAGCGGCATCTGCCTCATGGACCTGTTGTCAGGATTAAATGAAACGATGTGCAGAAAGCAGCTAGCACTGGGCTTGGATTGCCTCAGTCAGTGGCAGTTTTCTTAGGAAATATTGTTGATGATTAATGTGGCTTCCTGGAAGATGGGCCCTGTGAGTAGGGCCTTGAGAGGTGGTATTCAGTTGTTTAAAAAAGCACATTGTTCACTTGTTTATTCTTTTATTTATTTTTTTATATTTTAAAAATTGTTTTGAGTCACCCACCCCCACCCCCACTCCTACCATTACCCTCTGTGCCAGGCCTGTGCTGAGTGTTGGGATTATGGTCCTCATCCCTGAATTTTCACCCTATCAAGAGAGAAATACTTGGGAATTAATGCAATCATGTGGGATAAGAGAAATGCCAGAGTTTGTACAACATTCTGTACACCAGAGGATAGATGAAAGCTCCTTGGCCTCAGTCAGGGAAGGCTTCTTAGCCAAGGGGACATCTGACCTGGGTTTTGAAGGATGAGTAGGAGTTTACCAGGCAGAGGGGAGTGAATCATTTCTACTCTGAAGCACTTTCCCAAACATACATGTCGGGGAAACAAATGGCGCTGGAATAATTTGGTATCGTCATGCAAAAAAAAAGAATTTCAGTCCACAGATTCACACCATGTACAAAAATTGACCAAATAAAATGGATCATAGACCTTAATGTAAAACTTAAAATCATAAAATTTCTAGAAGAAGATAGGAGGAAAATTTCTGTAACTTTGGATCGGGCAAAGGCTTCATAGATATGACCCCAAAAGCACAGTCCATGAGAGAACAATTTGATGAATTGCACTTTGTTGAAATTAAGAACTTCTGCTCTTTGAGTGTCACTATTAATATGAAAATACAAGCCACAGACTGGGAGAAAATACTTGCAAATCACATATCTGATAAAGTCTTTGAATCCAGAATTTATAAATGACTTTCAGAACTCATAAATAACCCAACAAAAAAGATGGACAAAAGATTTCAACATAGACTTCCCCAAAGAAGGTACTTAGATGGCATGTGAAAGTATATTAAACCTCCTTAGTCATTAAAGAAATTGAAACTCGAACCACGATGAAATACTACTACACAATTACTGGAGTGTCTACACTTGAAAAGATTGATCATACCAATGCTGGTGAGAATGTGGGGTAACTGGAACTCTCATACCCTGCTGATGGGAGTGGAAAATAGTGCACCATGTTGGAAAACGGTCTCTTACAAAGTTAAACATACACCTCCCATGTGGCACGCTAGTCTACTCCTAGGTATTTATGCAGGAGAATGGAAGTGTACATCCGTGCAAAATTTATTTTACATGAAAGTTCATTAGCAGTTTTATGTGTAAGAGCCCAAACCTAGAAACTACCCAAAATGTCTATTAACAGGTGAATGGATGAATTCATTGTAGAAAACCATAAAGGTAGTATACTACTCAGTAATAACGATGAACGGCTGATAAACCCAAGAACATGATGGCTCTCAAAATAATTGTGCTGAGTGAAAAATCTCAGATGAAAGAGTACAACCATATAACCCCGTGTACTTGAAACTCTAGAAAATACAAATGAATCCGCTGTGACAGCAGACAGGTCAGTGGTTGCTCGGGGTTTTGGTTGCAGGAGGAGGGGAGAGAGGATCATGAAAGGGAACTTTTGCGGGTGATGGATGTGTCCATTGTCTTGAGTGCTGACGCTTTCACGGGTGTATATGTCAGAGCTTATCACAGTGTACTTGTTAAAGATGAGTGGTTTATTTTTGCCAATACACCTCAGTAAGGCAGGCTGTCTCTCTCTCTCTCTCTCTCTCTCTCTCTCTCTCTCTCTCTCTCTCTCCCCCTCTCCCTCTCTCCCTCTCTCCCTCTCTCTGTCTCTCTGCTGGGTACTATCCACAGAGTTGCTGATTAAGTAGGTCTGGGCTAGGGCCTGAGAATCTGATTTCTCACAAGTCCCCAGGTGATGCTGAGGCTGTGGGTCCAGGGACCCCGCTTTGAGAACCACTGTTGGTGAGTCTGTTTCGACAGTGAGTGGAGTGGGATGAAGTGAGGTGAGCGGCTCCCCCGGCTTCACCTGCCTGACACCCCCCTCCACCGGGGGGACTTGCAGTATGTTCTTCTCTCATGCCTCTTCTCCCCCTGGTTTCTGGCCGCTAGGAGCCCAGACTGGCCCCAGGACGGCAGGGGATGCGAGGCTATCCCAGTGCTGGGTTTTCTTGAATGAGGTTGGGCCCCATGTATCCATTTGAATCAGCAAGAGCATTGTTGTTCGTTTTCTTGGTTTTGAGGAGGAGAAGGGCTCCAGCCAGACCCTCGTGAGCATCTCAGCCTGACATGCTTGTTCACAGTTTGCATACAGGAATGGGGCACAGTGTGGACCCAGTCAAGGAGGTGTTTGAAGTGGCTTTCTTTTTTTGTGTGTTTCTGGGGGCTGTTTTTTAGACCAGTTGGTCTGTGGGAACTGGTAGGTATTTCTTTGTTCTCACCCTGCTACCTGGCAGGTATGGAGAGTGTCTTCTTTGTTCTCTAAGAGCAAAAATACAAGCTGGAAATTCGTCAGTCTTTGATACAAGCCTGGGCTAGTTTTCTGGGATTGGGCCATCAGGTACTGGCTCAGTGAAGGAATTTGGTGGTCAGGAAATCACCCAAGAATGAGAGTTGCTAAGTACAAGCCCCCGAAGTCGCCAGAGTCAGCAAATAAAAATATGGGACGCCTAGGCCACATTCATCTTGTAACTGATCTAAGAGCACGGTGACTGTAGTTAATAGTATTGGACTTACTGTGCATTTGAGACATCCTGGGAGAGTAGAACTTCCGTGTTCTTACCACACACCAAGAAACGGCAACTATGTGAGGTGATGGGTGTATTGGTTAACTTCATTGCGGTAATAATTTTACAACGTTTGTCTGTATCAAATCCTCACGTTGCACACCTAAAAATATACAATTTTTATTTGTCAGTTATAATTCAGTGAAGCTGGAGAAAGTACATGATGCCCAGTTAAATTCGAGTTTCACATAAACATCAAATATTTTTTTTTAACTTAAGTGTGTCCCAAATATTATACGGGCAGGCCTGGAGGGTTGAAGTTGTATCAGAGAGGGCTACCTGGAGGAGGTGAGTACAAGCTGGTCTTGGACTGTGAGAGAAGTTAGGCAGGTGCAGTGAGGCCAGCCTTCCTGCTGCACTGAGCTCCTGATGCAGGGGCAACGCCAGGGGAGAGCCAGCAGTGCAGTGGTTGCAGAGCACAGGGTGAGGGTGTGGGCCCGGGGGGCTGTCAGCTGGAGCAGGGCCAGGTTGTGGGGAAGCCGGCCCTTGGGGTGGTGTTGGCCCTCCGTGGCCGCCTTCGCTCGCTGATGGCCAGCTTCCCCTCCTGGTCCCTGCACTGCGTCCTCCCTGCCTGCCACATTTCAGCTTTTACTTACTTATTTATCTATAAAATTTAGTTATTTTATTTTTGGCTGCATTGGGTCTTCATTGCAGTGCATGGGCTTCTCACTGTGGTGGCTTCTCTTGTTTCGGAGCACGGGCTCTAGAGTGCAGGCTCAGCAGTTGTGGCGCACGGGCTTAGTTGCTCCGCAGCAGGTGGGATCTTCCCTTCCCGGACCAGGGCTCGAACCTGTGTCCCCTGCATTGGCAGGCGGATTCTTAAGCACTGCGCCACCAGGGAAACCCCACATTTCAGCTTTAAATGGAACTTATTTGAGATCCGTTAGGACACCAGGACACATTTGAAATCACAAAGCTTTCATATTATTTTCTTCTTTATAATTTATTTTTCCTCCACCTAGACTGATGTTTTAAAAAAGTACCAGCAGCAGTGGTCATAATAATAATAATAATCCTCGCCTCCCAGCAGTTTGCTTCTGGCTGGCAGCAGCCAGGCTTTGGCCCGAGGCGCATTTATTTTTTATGACCCAGGCGTCAACTGTGGAGGAATGGGCTCCAGACAGAAGGATGGGGAATCAGGCACTCCTGCCAGGGGCTCTGCCAGGAGCTTTCTCTTACTTAATTCTCCTAAGGACCCTTTGACAGAAGGGATTATTATCACATCTGTTGGTCGGGAGGAGTAATCAGGCTCAGAGAGGTGAAACTACTTGCTTAAGGGCACACAGCTTTTAAGTGGCAGAAGCAGGGAATCCAGGTTGGCCTGACTCCAAATGGTCTCTCTTGTTCGTCCCTTGCCGTCATCTCAGGTCTGTGCCCGGGCTGAAGACCGCGTGCTCTGGGATGTGCCCCAGTGTGCACCCTTGGGTCACTTCTTCTCTCTCAGCTTCAGTTTTTCCCCCTGTGGAATGGGTGGAGCAACACCCTGATCCTCGGTCTGCTCCTAGGGTAGGTGCTCAGTAGAGAATCTGGCGTATAGTGACTCTGTCCCTCCCCACCTGGGCGGCCTTGGGCAAGTGCCTTAGCCTCTCTGAGCCTCAATCAATTTCTCCTCTGACAATTGGAGAGACTCACAACTGCCTTACAAGGTAAGAGCACCTAGTGCAGCATTGTAGGTGCTCAGTTAACCCTTCTCTTCTCCCTCCTTAAATGGACTTGCAGTGCCCGGAGAGAACGTGGACCCGTCCGTGTTGAGGTAAAGGGAGTCCCTGGCTATGGCTGGACACCTGTCCTGCCCTCCCCGTGGTCTCCGTCAAGTTCACCCACCTGTGCAGGCACCCACGTTTCTTTTGCAAATGAATAGAGTCAGTGTTCTGCATTTCCCTCCCAGATCCGGCTCCAGATCCAGGGGCTGGAACCGTGGGAATCCTTCCAGCCCTGGGTTGGTTGGTTGTAGAGACACAGGGGAGCCCACCCTGGCTCTGGAGGAGGGGGTGTGGTTTACATCCCCGTGAAGCAGAGTGCGACCCCTGGCCCGAACTGTGCTTATAGCGAGGGGCAGAACTCCAGGGGCCGGTTCCCTCAGCCAGGGAGGCCCCCGGTGCCACGCCCTCCACCAGAGGGCAGCGCCCAGCTGCAGACCGTGGCTTTCTGCGGCCCTGCACCCTGTGAGAGAGACCTGCACGTGCCCCCTCAGGGAACTTGGCACCTAACACACCATGTCTTCCAGCCCCGCGCCCTTCTGCTAGGAGACCCTGCCTGCCTGCCTGCCCAGCGCCCGCTTCTCCTGCTCGTGCTGGTGGCTTCATACAGTGCTTCTTCCCAGAAGTCGCCTCCTTACCCCTCCCCAGGCCCAGCACTCACCCTGTGCTGTCAGTGTCTGCACATCTGTCCCCCTTATTGGACTGGGAGCCCCTCAAGGACGGGCCACGCCTGATTCACTTGCCAGGGACTGCTGTGCAGCAGCAGGGAAGGTGTCCCTGGAAGGCCTGACAGCCTGGGCAAAGGCATGGGGTCGAGCCCAGCATTAACTGAGTGCCACTGTGTGCTGGGCGCTGTGCTGGTGCTTTACACACTTCAACTCATTTAATCCTCACGGTGGCCTGGGAGGAGGTTTGGCTGTTATTTTCATTCTACAGTCGTGGAAACTGAGCCTGCAGCGCAAGGGCAAGAGATTTGTGCCGTCACACCGCAGGGACGCAGAGCCGAGAGAACACGCAGTTGCGTCTGCCTCCAAATCCAAACCTGGCCCCTCTCTGCATTGTCGGGATCTCCTGCGTGCTCTAAGTGCAGCCCAGCTGAATGTGGAGAGCACATTTTGGATTTTAGTTTTTGCACTAAATCACCTGCCATCTTGGGGTAACCTTGAGTCTTTAATTGCATCAGATGAAGCCTGGGCATCTTCTGAGTCAGCTGTTACTTTTTCACTTCTTTTTTTCAATTCAGTTGAGACATACAGTCAAATGTTTATGAAAGCACTAATTTTAAGTGTACAACTCAGTGATGATTATATTCTTACACGCACCTGCGACCCCACACCAGCTCAACATCTAGAACATTCCTCGTTCCAGTAAAGGCTCCCTTGAGTCCCCACCCCATCAGAGGCATCCCTCCCACCTGAGTTATCATCCGAACTTCTCTTCCCGTAGGGTAGTTTTGCCACATCTGGACTTCATGTAACCAGAATCCACAGTGCATGTTCTTTTGTGCATGGCTCCTTTGTCTCACGTGGAATCTGGGGGGTTCATACACGTGCTTGCATGATCAGTGACGTGATCTTTTTCATTGCTGCGTGGTACCCCATTACTGTGCCCTGGCTGGACCACCCACTGTTTATCCGTTCTCTTCTTGGTAGACATTTTGGCCGTGAGTTGATTTATCCCACTGATCTGATCTCTATTTTCGTGATTTTGAGGCAGGGACTGGCTTTTGTCAGGACATTATGCAGAGGTGTCTGGCTCCCTAGAACTTTAGGGAACTGTAAACATCCTCGTGATTCTGATTGCTTTAGATCAGAAGCATATATATTCATCCCTCCGTGTCTTCTGTTGCAGCAGAGACTGGGGGAGGTGGGGAGGAGAGAAAAAGCAGCAAACAAGCTTTAGTGGAAGTTTTCTAATCCTCCTGTTCGTATGAGCGAAGTGGCAGATGATGGAGTCTGCCTGTAATTTAAAGTCAAATGCTCATGGCTGACAGTGGGAGCCATAATAAATGTGTTGCCACTGTCCTTTTGGTGTCCTTTCTCTGCTACGTTGAAATCTCATAAATAACCAAGAGCATGTTGGTAAGATGCCTTCCTCTCCTCCGTTTGCTCCAGCGGAGCAGCTGCAGTTGCTAGGTTGAGCTCCTCGTTGCTAGGGTTTTTGTGGTCCTGTGGTGCCCCAGAAATACGATGGATCAGTGGAACATGCTTTTGCTATTAATTGAAATGTTTCCACAGCGAATCTCTCAATGTCACTGCGTGCTTTGACAGTGTCCCAATAGGTCAATGATCCTTGCAGGTTTCTTTCGCAGTTAGAAGAAGTGGCTTGAGTGGAGGGGACAAGTGGCCTGGACGGGGAGTCAGAAAGCCTGATTCTAATCCTGTATCTGATACTAACTTGCCGTGTGACCTTGGGCAAGCGTTGTCCCCACTCTAAGCATTGGACTCCATAAAATTCAAGGACCTTCCAGCTTTGACAGCTTGCAGTTCATCACCCAAGCTCTGTCAACAGGCCAAGTGCAAATCAGGTCCTCATTATCTGTTGGAGGACTATTGACGAAAGAATTCTCATCCCCAGCTCACTTCCTCTCAACCCAGCAGGCTTCTGGGTCGCGTCTCCTTGGCCAGATGGCATGTGTGGAGTTAGGAGTTTCAGACTAATTTTAATATTCAATCAGACATAATTGGGGGAACTTCCCTGGTGGCACAGTGGTTGAGAATCCACCTGCCAGTGCAGGGGACACGGGTTCGAGCCCTGGTCCAGGAAGATCCCACATGTTGCAGAGCAACTAAGCCCGTGCGCCATAACTACTGAGCCGGTGCTCTAGAGCCCATGAGCCACAACTACGGAGCCTACGTGCCACAACTACTGAAGCCCACGCACCTAGAGCCCGTCTGCAACAAAAGAGGCCACTGCAATGAGAAGCCCACGCACCACAACGAAGAATAGCCCCTGCTCGCCGCAACTAGAGGAGGCCCGTGCACAGCAATGAAGACCCAAGGCAGCCAAAAAAAAATAGATAAATAAATATATAAATTTATTTTTTAAAAAAAGCAAACATAATGGGGATCATAAATCTGAAAAAGGAAAAGTGACACCCTACAACCCATAAACATCTGCTCATGCTATTTTCTCTTTCCTGCTTAAAAATCTTCGGCAGTTTCCCTCTGCGTGCCCCGGGGATGGCAGACAGGGTCTGTTTCAGTTGCTGAGGCAGACCATTGGGTGGGGCTGCAAGGGGGGACATCCCAAAAAGGATCTGGACTCGCTGGTTTGCTGTGGGGTCTTCCTCGATTGGTGGTGTCTGCCCCGGGTCCAGGAGTGTAAATAAGGATGCGTGTTTGTCCATTGTGGCTGGAGTTTTAAGCCTATGCCCTTTCATACTGTGTTTGAGGCCTTCTCCATGGCACCGGCCAGCTTCTCGTGCTTATTTCCTCCCCCACTCTGTCTGCCCCACCTCCAAAAATACCTGCTTCTCTGTCCACGTTCAGTTGAACACCTGTTGTCTCCAAAGATGTCCTTTGTTCCCGTTGTCCCCTCTGCCCGCCAGGTCTTCTATCCCATCCAGTTGGTCAGCTCTACCTATTTGTCTTTCAGACTTCAATCACAATCTTGTCTCATCTTCTGCGACATTCTCTTTGACTCTCTCGAGTGGGATTAATTGGCCAGGCCCTCCTCTGAGATCCCACAGTCCCCCACTTAGCTGTTTCGCACTTAGTTGTTTTTAAGTCTCTTTCCACTCCTAGCTTGAGAGGTCCTCAAAGTCAAGTTCTGGATTTCGCTCATCTCTGTCTCTCCAGAGCCCAGCATGGTGCAGAGCCTCAGTAAATCTGTTGAATGAACACACGAGTGAATAAAAATCATGTCGCCTTCCGAAGTCAGATGGAAATGATTTTTGTAACTTTCCCAGCAGCCTGAGTTCCGTGTGTCAGTACTCCCCAGCTTAATCGTGGGTGATTTGCCATGGTCGTAAAATGACCACACATTCCCCTCAGACCGCGCCCTGCTTCCACTTGCAAGTTTGCATTTCCTCCACCGTGACGGCCTGTTTGTCTTCCTCTCTCCCCTTGCTCTCAGCCTGAAGACAAGCAGAGGGCGGCAGCTGCCTTCGCCCAGCTCCAGGGCGCCATGGAGACGCTGGGCATTTTGGAGAGCGAGCAGAGGGCCATTTGGCGGGTGTTGGCAGCCATCTACCACCTGGGTGCAGCGGGGGCCTGCAAAGGTACGTGCTTGCCGCCGGACTCACCTGGGCTGCCGGCTGTCTCCACCAGCAGGTGCCTGACAAGGCCCTTCTTTCCGTGAGGTGGGACAGGGTCAGCCTGTCATCTTCCACGTCTCTGGGACTGCTCTCGGGGAGGCTGCCGAACCAGGCGTGCCGAGAAGGCAGCGGGCTGGGTGTTTCAAGCAACCGCGTAACCCAGCACTGTCCAGTGGAACTTTCTGTGATGATAGGGGGAGGTTCTCTGTCCAGTAGGGTGGCCGCTAGCTGTACGTGGCTGTCGAGCTTTTGACATGCAGCTGGTGCAACCGAGGCGTTGAATTTGTCATTGCATTAAATTCTAATTAACATACATTTAAATAGCCACATGTAGCTAGTTGTTACTGTGCTGAGAAGAGACACCCTGAAGCGGGTGAGAGGAGGCTGGGTCCACGCGCTGAAGGTGATGTTTTCCTGTCTAGACATCTTGGAGATGCTCACACCATGTGTGCTGAAGCTCACCCAGCTCTCCTTCTCCTCCCAAACCTGCTCCCCAGCCTTAACTGTCTGTTTGCTTACTGTCCCTGCTTCAAGTTGGTCTGCCTCCCCCATCCCTATCCAGCCGTTGACCTTGCCCTGTAGATACTTTCTGTGGCAGCATTTCTGTCCTGACTTCTCTATTCTTTCTGTTGTCACCTTAGACTAAGTATTTGCTGGTCCCTTTCTTGCTTGGACTATTGAGGTAGCGTCGTTGCATGTGGCTTGGCTCCACCCTCATTGTGGCCACTGGGCTCCTTTCTAAAACGTTGACCTGTTGTGCCATTCCCTGCTTACACTCCTCCCGAGGCTGTCTCTTGTCTGCTACATCAAGTAAAATTCCTTGACTTGGCATTCAAGGCTCCTTGCTTCCCTAACCAGACTCCTGTGCTGTTGCGTTTGGCACTACGAAAGGTCCCGGGGAGACGGTCACTGTCAAGAGCAGTGTGGCTCCTGCCTTCGTGGGGCTTGTGGTACCTTATACTGTGATTGTGTCTTTGTCTAGCTGTTTCCTGTAGAGAGTGGCTTCCTTTGGGCCCAGAACATAGAGTTGGAATTTGCTGTTTGAATGGTTACACGTGGGCATGGAGGTCTGTCCTCTGGAGCTGTGTGTTGACTCTGGCTGACATTCTGGGCTATTCCTCTGTGGGGCAGCAGACTTCTTTGGAATATGCTGGCATGTTATTCCTGCCATTCCCATACCCGTGGGCCTTGTGGCCTGTTCTTTTGATTTTCATACTCTTGAGCTGCATTGGTCCACTGATTTGATTTTGGACATTTCTAGAAGTTATGCTGAGTCAGAAATAGGTAGGGTAGGGGGTCCACAGTTGGTCCAAGCCAAGGGCAGACATGCTTAACTGGGCAAACATGGAAAAATCAAATGCCACTTGCCTTTTCCAAAAATCAGCCGTGGGCCATGCTCAACGCCCTGACCATTTGGAAATCAGCCAGCTTTGTAAATGGACTGGGATTGGGGATGTCATTGCACAGTTCAGATCAGAAAAGCTGTTGGAAGGTTTAGAGTTGGGTCACAGGCATCTATAGATTGGGGATGTGTGGAAGGAAGCAAACCTATTTTACAGAATAGAAAACTGAGGCTCAGAAGGTCTAGGTGCAATGAACTCCAGGCTGGGGACTCCCTGATGGTGCAGTGGTTAAGAATCTGCCTGCCAATGCAGGGGACACAGGTTCGAGCCCTGGTCCGGGAAGATTCCACATGCCACGGAGCAGCTAAGCCCGTGCACCACAACTACTGAGCCTGCGCTCTAGAGCCCGTGTTCCACAACAGGAGAAGCCACCACAGTGAGAAGCCTGTGCACCGCAACGAAGAGTAGCCCCTGCTCCCCGCAACTGGAGAAAAGCCCGCGCAGCAATGAAGACCCAACACAGCCCCCCTCCAAAAAACTCCAGGCTATGGGCACTTGAGGGAGGCAGATTTGAGTTCAAAACCAAACTTCTCTGAGTTTCAGAGAGGCCTTCTCTTTCATTGGGCCAAGACTGGGGTTGGTGTGAGGATTAAATGGAGTAAAGAAGAGAAAGCTGAATTAAGCTGCTTTCCCCGGAGGCACACCCTGAGACAAAAATTGCATGTGGGCTTTGGGGGAGGGGGGGTATCAGGAGGAACCAATAGGGAAGTGAGGGAAGAAAGGCAGGTGATGCTGGAGCCTTAAGGAGTGGATTAGCTCTGGGAAGTGGGGGGCCAGTATCTCTCGGGACCTCTGGGAGACTCTGAAGAACATGTCTCCTCATCGAGTATTACCCGAGGGGCGAGGGAGCCGGGACATTGATCTATACCGCCTCCTGCTTCTCCCTGGTTGAAGGTTGCTCCTGGGGAGCATTCCCCCCGCCCTTCCAGCCTGCCCCATGCATGAGCTGAGCATGTTCCGGCAGCCAGGAAAGCAGAGAGGCGCAGACAGGTACCTGTAGTGACAGGCCAGGGACACGTGTGGCGTAGTATGTACGGAATGGCCAGGGTGAGGGGTGGTGGACAGGTCATCCGTGCTTCTAGCTCAAGGCAGTCCCTCAGTAGACTGTGTTGTTGAGCCTGGGTTAGGTGACTCTCTCAGGGTGTCACAGCCACGTGCCTCTCTGCTTTGCTCAACTCAAATAGGCTTGCTCCCTCCCGGCACTTAGCAAAGCCTAGGGAGAGAGCAAGGCGGTTGGGACCTACCTTCCGATTTCCCTTGTCACGCTTGAAACCTCTCTGCCTCTGATGTGACCAAACGGAGGCTAAGGGAGCCCCCAGTCTGTTGACCTGTCACCAGAGAAGTTTGATGCCTGACTTCCTTCTCCTGAGGCTCATGGGGCACCCCCTCTATGTGGGCTCGGGACTCATGCCTGTAGCTGCCTGTAACGATAAAAGAGAAAGGCACATTTATAAATATTTTATTAATACATGATTATGGCAATGATTCCTCCCAGCCTCCCCCCACCCCACCTTATAAATTATTTTAAGAGGAGCTGCTGTCAGTCTGCCTGAGAGGCCTGCTTCATGATTTACTTACTATATATGCTGCTTTGGAAGATTTAATAATAGGTTGCTCTAAAATCAGCTATTAAGAATTTCAAAGTCATATATAAATGTCTTTGCTTTGTGTCATAACAGATCATTTCGAAATATATTAAGAATCATTTCCGTTAATCAGGTTTTTTTTTTTTCATTAATACGATGCTGTCCTCGCAGCGCACCCAGCTTCCTTAACTTATTTTGAAAGTCCTGATCCGTTTTTAAAAACCAATATCAGTCCCTGTGGGTAGATTTCAGGGCTTATAACTGGACTTAGGATGTTTGAACTGTTTCAGCAGTAACGAGAACCACCACTAATATCGGTTTAGCGTTTGATGGTTTCAGAAGCACTTGTACCTCTCTTGTGCCTTTTGATCTGATTGGATTCATACAATAACCTGGTGAGGAAGGATAGTGCCATGGGCAAGAGTCAGCCTCCTGGCTTGGCTTCTCTGAACCTCAGTTTCCTCCTCTGTAAAATGGGGCTAATGATGGCACCCACTTTGTAGGCTTGTCATGAGGATTAAATGAGTCAGTGCCAAACGCGTGGAGCACAGGACTTGGCTCACAGCTTTATGAGGAGGAGTGCGGTTTACCTGGTGTTGCACAGCTAGTATGTTCCAGAGTGAGGTTTGGAACCACAGCTGGTCTCCCTGCAAAGACCACTCCCCTTCCCTAGACTTTGCAGAGGGCTGTTAGGGTCATTCCTTGCTGGAGAATTGACCTGTTTTCCTGGGCCCTGTGCTGAGTGCTTATAGACGTGATGTCACTGCACAGCCTTAGACTAGCCCAGGAGGAGCGAGAACTATTAGATGCCCATTTTACAGATGAGGAGACTGAGGCCTGCCAGAGAGGTTCATCCTCATCCCCAAGGGCACACCGCTAAAGCCAGAGGTGGGATTTGGACCCAGGTCTGCCCAGGCACTGAGCCTAACCTCTGAGATGACACCTCTGGTCTCCCTGGCCCTGTGTGCCACTGCTTCTGGCCTCACAGGCTCCAGGGGCTGGTGATGTCACTTTTTCACTGGGGTGCCCTGTTTTTACTCATGACACTTCTGACACCAAATGTGTGGGGCTTTCCTTACACCAACCAGTCCTCTGATTCTCTGGACACCAATTGGGTGTCCTACAATTTAGTCCACTCCTGTTACTACTTGGAGTTAGTTCAGGTTACGGGCTTGGGCCCACAAGACTGTACCACTTCAGACATTGTTCATAAGTTTGGGCCACCTGTACTTCTGATGGACCAGCTATAAAGTTGGGCTCCCACAGACCCCTCCTTGGTTTGATAATTTGCTAGAATGACTCACAGAACTTAGGAGGGCTTTTACTTACCAGTGCCTGTTTATCGTAAGGCATACAACTCAGGAACCGCCAAACAGAAGAGATGCGCAGGGCAAGTTGTAGAGCAAGGGACTTCCCTGCCTTCACTGTGCGACCCTCCGGCACCTCAGTGTGTTCAGTGACCTGGAAGCTCTCTGAGCCCCATCGTTCGGGGTTTTTGGAGGTTTCATTACACAGGCACGACTGATTAAATCATTTTAATCAATCACGGCCCCAGCACACTCCTGGGGGCTCCTGAGTCTCCTCTCTTGGGAGAGTGGCATTAGGCCCCCACTGACCCCTGAGTTCCTGCAGGGCGCTGCCACCGTGACCTTCCCCCACCACCTTCTGGGTCCCTCCAGCCCGTATGACTTGGTGTTCTTGACCCCAGGAGTCTGGCTGCCTGTGGGGCTCTGGATCGCCCTGTCATCAGCAGTGCCCCGGGCAGCGTCGGAGTCAGAGAGGGCACCTCCCCCCCCCCCCCCCCCGTGGCAGAGCAGCGACACGGGCGTCTCGAAGTCAGCTAGTCCTGGGTTCAGGGCTCAGCTTGGGCTCTTACTTAGCTGTGTGTGACCTCGGCCAAGTTCTGGGGCTCGCCCGAGCCTCCTCTGGAAGAGGGAGAAGGGGCGGCAGAGAGCCGTCTGGGGTCTCACACACG